TGGCAAAGTGGCAGCATCAATGGGCTCAAGCGAGGCAACAATAGTGAGGTTGGCCCAGGATTGGGCAGTGTTTCATTCTGCTGTGCATAAGGTCGGTACTGACTCAATGGCACCTAACAACAACAACAACAAGTTAACTCTTTGCATACTGCCTAACAGCTGTTCGAAACCTTCACTCTTCTCTAGCCCTCATCCACACACTCCATTTTCCAGCACTTTAAATGCCATGGCAGCAGAGACAAAGAATGTTGATTTGGGTGCAGCGGAGGGACCTCCCTCTAGTCTAGAGACTGAGAAGGCTTTCAAACTTAAACCTGAAGTATGAGTAGGGAGCTTAGTTACAAAAAGAAGGGAGCAAATAATCTTCCAGAGTTAGCGGTACACACAAAGGTCCTGAGTCAAGAGAAAAGCTGAAAGGCAACCAATGTACCAGGAGCACAAGAACAAAGGGGAGAGTAGCTAAGAGATGAGGCTGGAGACCTAAGAAGGAATCACACCACAAGGGGTCCTAATAGTTCTCATTAAGAATTTTGAACTCAAACCTTAAGGGCATTGAGAAGTTGTATGATTTTAAGCAAGGATATCACATTTGGGGGCTTCCAGTTTAACTGGAAAAGGGATTACCTCCTAAGAAACTTCAAGAAAATTGGCAGGAAAAATGATTAGAAGTAGCAACATAATTCAGTAAGGTGGCAAGGTCCACCTTACAAATGTGTATGTAGCGCCAACTCATAGCAACCCTCTGTGCAACAAAATGAAAAAATTGTGCAGTCCTGAGCCACCTTCACAATTGTGACGACTGAGTCCAATGCTGATGCACGGTGTTATTCCATTTCATTGGAGGTCTTCCTCTTTTTTGCGGACTCTCCATTTCACCAAGTATGATGTCCTTGTCAAAGGACTAGTCCTTCCTGACAACATGTCCAAAGTGCCAGAGAGAAAAAAAAAACCTATTATCTTTAATTCCATTTTTCCACAAACATTTGGTAGCCCCCCCCAAATTCCCTATCTCCTTTAACCCTTTCTCCTTCTTTTGACCTTAACTTCTTTATCCAAGTGCTCTTTAAGGATGTTTTAGGTACTGTTTTTAACTTCACTGTCTTAATCTGAAAACAAAAAAAATCTAATCCAAGCATCTGTCAGCACCTCTAATTTTAAGAGCTTTTTAAAAACATTACTGTTGTTGTTATGTGCTATCAGGTCAGTTCTGACTCATAGCAACCTTATGCACAATGGTCCACAGCATTTTCACAATCGTTGTTATGTTTGAGCCCATTGCTTCTGCTACTGTGTCAATCCATCTCATTGGGGGGGGGTCTCCCTAATTTTTGCTGATCCTCCACTTTTCCAAGCATGATGTCCATGATGTCCTTCTCCAGCAACTGGTATCTCCGGATAATATGTCCTTAGTATGAGATATGAAGTCTTTCCATCCTGG